GCTGTACAGAATAAGAAAAATAAGAAAAAGTAAATATTATATTCTTTTGCGACATATTAATATGTTTTACAGTGAAATTCTTTACTGAATCCACAAAGCATGAGAAGCACTGTTGCATTTATTCATTAAGTCCAGCAGGAGGAGGCATTATCACACATCTGTACCCTGGAATAGTTTTTTAATGTAACAAATCCACCTAACAAAGCTGTTTGTTTCTGGCTGATATTTCCATGTATTGTTGCACACACACAACCAGAGACTTTACAAAGTAAGTAACAGGCTCTTTTGAACTGGACTGTGTGAAGTCACAAAGGAAGTGGCATGTGAAGGGTATTTAAATGAGGCAGATAGAGATGTCTTATCTGGGCATACGGAGCAGAAAAGTAGGCGACTGGGTGTCAGATCCGCTGCTGTGACACCCTTTTAGAGTTCCTTTCCGAGTTAATTACCCTGCTGAGGCATCACAGGAAGTGAGGAGATCTTTAACACGTTCAAAGGAGAAAATGTGAACACATCCAGTTCACCGAAATCCAGTGGTGGAATGGAAATAAGTACATTTACTCAAGTACTGTAATTAAGAACAACTATATGCAGGTAAATTATATACTTGAACATCCACAGATTTAATGTATTTAAATATATATACTTAACTGTTAACCCATGTAAACATATGTTTGTTTCTTTCTTTTCTTGTATCTATGTGTGTTAAATTTTATTTTACAGTTTATTTACTATTATTTTTATTATTGATGTAGTTTGGTATTATCTTGCCCAGTATAGATAATGTCTTATATATTTATTTTTTGGGCAGTACAGAGGTTTATGTACAATATTCTTTTCTTGAATAAAAATATGCATAAAAAAGAACAATTTTGAGGTACTTGTACTTTACATACTCATGTCATTTTATGTTGTTTTAAACTGAATGCAGAAATAAAACTAAACTACATTATTTCACTAGACTTGATTAGTTACTTAGCAGATTCAGATTATAAATACAAAATATAAACCAGGTAATACATTATGATAACCTGAGGGCTAGGGTTAGGGTTAGAGGTCGCCAAAGCTTCAACAGGGGGGTCGCGAGGCCTTCTTCATTTTAATGGGTGCAAGAAAACTTAAACAATATACATAGTATCTCTGCATTTTGTTCATTTATGTGTAAAAAATGTAATTAAATTGTCATTTTTTATAAAGTTATTTAAGGTATAAACTTTAAAGCTACATTCACAGAGCTTTCACTCTCTGATAAACAGCCTCGACATGCGTTAGAAAAGTTAAAACAACCAAAGAGCCGATGGAACAATGAGAAGAAAACACTTAATCTGTCATAAAAGAAGTCTATTAAGTCTGTAGGATTGTTAAATGATTGAAAAAAATAGGAACAGGAAAAAATCTGCTCAAAATTCATCCAATTTACTCGTTTTAAAGAAACTTCCTGCAGTTACTGAGTTCACTGTTTGGGTTCATTGTACAGTTTTGAATATAATAGGAAAATATCCATAAAATATGTCACTAAGTCAGCTTAATAAATTATAGAAAAGGGAAAAGGTTGGGAAGTATATAAAGTCGTTATATTAGCTCCACCTTTACCAGCTGCAACTGGTACTTTAATCATATATTAATGATAATGCAATAAAACTTTAGCAATTCTGTGGCATTCCTGCTTTTATTTAAAGTTAAAAAGATACGAGCGCCCCTTCCACAGCTGCTGAATTGTAGGAAGAGGACGTCGTGTCTCGACTTGTGTACTGGCAGTGGAGCGTCTCTTTACATGTACACCAACTTCGGTATTTGCATATTAAGGATAAGGTGCAGACAGTACATGAGTCATGCTTTAAGAAGGCATTTTTCCATACTTGTAAAAAGGAACAGCGTGCTGAGCCAAAGTATGCGAGTCCAGCCCTTATTACCGAGAACCTCCTTTCTCTGTTTTGTTTGAGGCTTTTAACCTACAGGTGTGTTATTCTCACGTTTTGTCTTATTAGTTTTAAAGTTTAAAGGAGTGTAGCCAATATTTTTTAGAATGTGTTATGACTTTCTGCACACTCAGATCTATCCAATATTATATATTAACTTTAACAAGATTCCTGTCCTGACCTTCAAAATACAACAATGGACAGATAATCATCGGCAGTATGGAAAAACACCCATGTGGCAGAAACTCCAGCTTTACTGCTGGTTCACATGCACCAAACAGCAGACAGACAACATAGTGGAGCATTTAGCAGCTAGAGAAGTGAAAGTAAGAGCGAATATTGGACAGAAATACGATTAATAAAGTCAAATGAATGAGAAAGTTGCTGTTGGATGTGTAAATAAGCAACAAGATCCCCTCCGGACAATAATGCGTGACTGATACGTCCACATTAAATCTTTTTAAAAAAAGATCTTTTTACATCACATTTGTATAAGTTGCAAACTGGACCAGTATTGACTTCAAAACTATTTGTGACGCCTCTTAAAATCTGAGACTTTCAGCAGAAGAATGTGAAAAACATCCTTCTGGTGTCAAACTCTGCACATGCATCATCCTGCACAGTGAAGCTCAAACATCCCACTGTAGGAACAAAGAAGAAAAACACATTTTTAGTGTAAGGGGGGGACTTCAAAGAGAACTATGCTGGTCTGTTTTCAGATTTCAGATCTAATCTGATGCTGCAAAATGCTGCACAAAGTTAAGTAGGACCGTCAATCAAATTTAGGTGGTATTATGTACCAGGTGGTAAGAATCTCAACTTTTCTGGTGAAAGTGGAACGTTTCGTTTTCATATTTGGTTTTTCGTCTAAAACCTGTGGACAGAAATACTTAGTATACCTGCAGAGACACATTTCAACTGATAGCTGTTAGTTAGTAGATATATTTTCTGATTATCAGCAGGAGGACGTGTGTTCAGACTGAGACTAACTACAACAGTTGTTATCAGTGGGCTTATTTACAGGATGGCTTCATATTTTAGTCTGAATCTGAATGCAGAACATACATGATAGTACAGTATATATAGAGTGGTTGCATTAAGTGTTCGTTCTCGTTGGATGGAGTCAGGCTAGCAGTTTCCCCCTGTTTCCAGTCTTTGAGCTAAGCTAAGCTAACCAGCTGACAAACAGTAACATCATATGATATTATGACATTAAAGGCCTGTGAGATCTTACCTGTGTGAACCTTCAGTCATCATATCGGGTCCATATACTTATTATTACTGATCAACATTAAAGTCTGAGCAGCTGTTTAACATCAATTTTATTTTTTATATACTTTTTATGACGTTTGTGTCTCAGCTTTCCAGTTGTTCCCAATTTATCTAATTCCAACACTGTTTATGGACCTCAGTATGCAGAAATATTCAAATACAGTAACACAGAGTAGGTATGTCTGCAAAGGGAAGACTTGTGGGTACCGACTGGACCCATTTTCATTCTGATATCTTGAGGTCAGAGGTCAAGAGTTCCCTTTTGAAACTGGCCAGTTTTCCCCAAATTTAGCCTAACTTTGGAGTATTATTTTGCCCCCTTCCCAGCATGGTTGGTACCAACGGATGCGTTAGGTCATCTAGTGTCATATTATAGCAGCGACTGCCAACCAAATTTGAGCTGCAGTTCCAGTTTGCTCTTCAGCCACTGGGGATGCACAAGCCAGGCAGTGCTGAAAAGAATAAAAATGAAGATTCTGTCACTGTGGTGCCTATTTCTCGCTTAAAATCTTTTCAGAAACATATTTTAGTGTATTTTTTAGCTGTAATGGGAGAATGTGTTTGACCAGGTGAGCCTAAGCAACCCTGAATACATTCAAAATGTATGTACATTACTGCTGCTGGCTCTCTACCTCTGCAACTCTTGTTTCCAAAGAGACGCTAAAGTAAGTCAGAGTTGAGGGTGCTGAGAGAAAGTTAGTCTGTAATGATGATGTCTTACTAAATGCTAAATGCATGAGATTAATGTTTATTTTTTACACACTTTTTTCTTACATTTTACTGGATAAAACCAATTTTCCTGCCATAAATACCACAAACACATGTAAATCCATGAAGTCCCTACAAGTTTGAACATGTTGAGGAACTAATTCTTTTCATTATGCCATATTTTTGGGGGTGCTGCAGCCCTTCTTTTTTTCATTTTTTATCCATTCCATGGCGTTAAACTACCAACTTTTTTTTTTTTTTTTAAATCTACATGTGACGGCAGTGCCCCGTTGTTAGGTTAGTTGTTCTGTTTATTTTTATTATGCTATACCTGACCTGACCTGACTTTAAATAGGCTTGGCTATAAACACACACACAAAAAATGGTGCATCAAAGAACACAACTGTTAATATTTACATGTTGAAAAGAGCCCTTCCCAGCGCCTGCAGGCCAAAACTCACCTACA